CGCCCCCCCGGCTCTGGGAGGGGAGTGGGGGCTGGTGGGTTAGAGCAGTGGGGGGGCTGGGAGCCAGGACTCCTGGGTTCTCTCCCCGGCTCTGGGAGGGGAGTGGGGGCTGGTGGGTTAGAGCAGGGGGGGGCTGGGAGCCAGGACTCCTGGGTTCTCTCCCCGGCTCTGGCGAGGCCATCTGGCCCCCAGCTGCACCCTCCCCAGCGTCTTTTCCCTCCTCCAGGAGACGACGACGAGTTTGTGAACCCCCCCGCTATGGTGGCCTACCTGGGCCAGATGCCCAACGCCCCTCACATCATCCATGGCTACATCCGCATCCATTCGGCCGTGATGAGAAGCACAAAATATCGCGTCTCCTCCACCCTGTTCCCCCAGGACACGTACCCCGACTTCCCCTCCGGGGGTGGGTTCATCATGCCCAGGGCCAGTGTCCCGGCCCTGGCCAAGGCCTCTGAGCGCATCCCCGTCTTCCCGCTGGACGACGTCTACTTCGGCTTCCTGGTGCTGGCTGCCGGGCTGCGGTACCGGCACGACGACCGATTCCGGGTGTACGGCGTGCAGGACGAGCTGTGTCTGTACGCAGAGGCTTTCATGGTGCACGGGGTGTCACTGGACAAGGTGGAGGAGGTGTGGAGGGGGTTGTACGAGGAGCGACGGTGCAATGTGACGAGGCCCCTCCCCTCTTAGGGGTGCAGGAAATGGGGCAGGGGCCTGTCCCCTCTTGGGCGTGTCTGGGATGTATCGTGATATCCTTTGGTTTTTATCAGGCCAATCCCCTGAGCTGTCCTGAGCTGGTGGGCCCAAGCGTGGGACCCAGCTGACACCCCATCTATGATGGGAGACTTTCCCCTCCCTCGCCCCGGGGCCTTTTCCTTCCCAGTGGATTTCACAGCTTCCCTGACCTGTACGGTTAGACGGGACCGCACATCTCAGCTAGACAAACCTGCTGCCGACATGCAGGACTGGCTTTTGCTAAACCATCCCAGACAGATGGTTCCAGACTCCTCTCGGAAAACTCCAGCGAAGGAGCCTCTCCAACCACCCGAGGCGTCTGGTCCCTTGTCCTATCGCCTCTTGTCCTCCCCTCTGCGGCCAGACAGAAGAATTGTTCTCCATCTTTTTATGGCAGCCTGTCAAGTGTTGGAAGTCCCCTATCCCGTCCCCCTTCCCCTTAATCTTTTCTTTTCCAAACTAAATATACCCCGTTCCTCCAGCCTTTGCTCCTATAGCTGTTGGATCATCGTTGTCACTCACCTCTGGATCCTTTCCAGGTTCTCTCCATCCTTTTCCACTTTTTCTTTTTTGCACCAGCGTCACATTGCTGACTCATGTCGAGGTTGTGGCATGAGCCCCAGAACCTTCTCGGCCACGCTGCTGCCCCGCTAGTTCGCCCTGTCTGTAGTCGTTACTCCTGGGGGGATTCTGCGCTACCGCACGCGTGTGTAATTAATGAGTCGTGCATACTTTTAATTTTTTGCGCAGAAAAACGCTTCTGCTGAAAGGTTGTTGCGGTTCTGCCTTTTGCCCACCAGAGGGCGCTGTGTCGATAGAACAAAGCAACAGCTCCCGGCCAGCTAGGGAAGAGAACGAGCCTGCAGCGCCTTCTTCGCAGCGGGCCAGGTCAGGAGACCGGGGCTATGGGGAGACAGACAGTGTGGGGTTCTGGGGGGGTCAGACAGGGGCTCATAAGGGCTATTGGGAGATGATTGTTCTTGCTAAACCATTGCTAGTGGGACAGAGGCTGAATGGGAGTGGAGGTGCAGGACCACACAGTGATGGGGGAGGGGTGCAGAGCTACATAGGCACAGAGAGTGGCTGGGGGCACAGAGATACATTGGGAGGGGAGGGGTACAGGGACACAGGGACAGGGGGTGGCTGGGTGGGGGCACAGAGAAATGGGGGGAAGGGGAGGGGGACAGGGACAGGGGGTGGCTGGGTGGGGGGCAGAGGAGACATGGGGATGGGACAGGG